TGTTGTTGTTGTTGTTGTTGTTGTTGTTGTTGTTGTTGCTGTTGTTGCTGTTGTTGTTGTTGTTGTTGTTGTTGCTGCTGTTGTTGTTGTTGTTGCTGCTGCTGGCGAAGCAATTGTCGATGATACACTATGCTCATGTTAAATTCACTAAGTTTTCCGTTGATTTTTGCAACATAATCCGACATGGAGGATGCCTACAGCAATAAATAAGCAGAGTTAGTAAAGGGTATAAAGGAGTGACTGGATTCATGAGGCTTGTAGAAGTATATAACAATACGTTCTATCTACTATACGTAACGTAATATAACATACGCTACTAAATGCTGTCGATTCGATTTTGCGAGCGAGCTGAGTAATTTCACTTTCTGAAACCTTCCCCCTTAAAACGGCTGCAATCTTTTCAAGGATCGGACTTCGTCCGTTGTCTGCTAAAGGCCACTTATTAGCCTGTTGTTGTGGCTGTTGTTGCGTGGCCATATAGTCTTATTAAACGTAAATAGTTATTCTTTGCGACTATGTTTCGCTTTAGCCGCTGGTATATATATAATCTCCATTGTCGAAACAATATGAACTACTATTGGATCATAGTCAATAATTGAATCATTGGCCACCGACATTCTGTGTTACGAAAATGGTCGGATGTTGATCCAATTTCTTGGAATATAAATAATAAAATTACATCTTGTTCCGAACTGGGTCGACCCAATTCATTCTGAACGAAGCCATTAATGTGTTACCAACAATAGTGTTACTAGCGCCTTTCGTGTTACAGCGGCTGACAACATAATAATAATAGATCAGAAAAAGAAATAGAGCTATATGTATTATCAAGTTTTACTACATCGATTTAAGAATCGGAGAAAATAACGTTGGTTTATGAGGATCAGGATCTTTTGATTTTAGCTTAGACTGGCTTGGGTTAAAAATGGTCCACTTGAGAGGGTCTCTAATGATAAGTTATTCGTTTCCTCAGTGCCTGTGATAGAGGCAAAGAGCCTGTTTTATCACTGGGTCACAGGTTTTGTGATGTCTCGATATATTTGCCTGTAGCAATTTCAAAGAACAAAATTCTACATTTGTTTATTATTATGCATAAGCTAAATCATTTTGACCACGACACATCTCCCTAACTTGCGTGGCACCAACTTGTTATATTCCGTGCGGGAAGCGGCAACATTTTAATATGTGAACAAGAGAGTGCGGTTAACAGTAACTTGATATGAATTAGTTCATCGAGGCTTGTATCTCATCAACAATGTACTTTCGGTAATGATTCTTTGCTCTCGGTTGCTTTGGCATAAGAAATCTGCTTAATTCGGCAAATAGTGAATGATAAATTGTATAGAATAGTCGGAAGAAAATATCAAGTTTCTTAACGATGAAGTCTTCTTTCCTACAAAGCGCGTTAGGCGACAATTAGATTAATTATAATTAATTGGGTAAAGGTAAATCTCGTAGAATTACGCATTGGGAATAAATTATTAAATTAAAGGAAGTATTAGTATGTATATTATATACAAGTCCCATCACCATAGGCTATGTTCACTTAAACATTCGAGCAAGCCTATTTTATTGTACAAAAAAGATCAATATAGCGACTGAGATAATAACAAACAATTATTCTAATAATGTATTTTCATGTTCTAGGATTACTCACTCACCGTCTATATGTTCCTACGTTATTTACTATCTTGTGTATTTTGTTGAAGTATCTATTTACTGACCAAATAATCCAAATATAATTTTTCCTCTCATATTGTTCAGGGATAACTTCTTGGAATCATCAAGGCATTGTTTAATTTCACCAAAGAACTGTTCGCCTTCATGACTTCCATTGTCAGCATTCGAATAATCAAAAATAGGTGTTGAGATAGAACCAAGATTGTTTGGATGGTTCGTTCCTAAGCCACCTCCTTTTGTAAATTCGAATGCTATAAGAAAGGATAGACCTCTCGATGAACTATGGTGTTGAAGAAGTCTGGGGTTGAGACTATGGGAGGGGCATTATCAATCGATTCATGAGTAGTATATAGTAATCATAATACTTAATACAGCATTAAGCAGAAACGAGATATAGAACTAAACTATAGTTAGAAAATCAAAATAAACATCTTGTAAAACACATTCGTTCATTCGTTATGCGCTAATTTTTGCTGAAGGCTGCTGGATAGCGGAGCCAAATTTATCGTCACGTTCTGTTTTAGTAATCCCGCTTTAGATGAGACCTTATCGTTTCTCTCCTTTAACCAATCAATCAGCGAGCCGTCGGCTAACAGTTCGTCTGTGTTTGATCCTATCATTCCTGATAATAATCATCACTGCCTCACTTTGGCTTATACGTGGGGGTGCTGAAAAGTTGCTCTCTAACTAGAGATTGCATCAGTTTAACTAGAAATGGAATAATCATCAAAACGCGTATGTTTTCATTTAATAACAAACGGGATGGAAATTTATTGTCTCATTGTCGAGAAACCATAAACCGACTGGAAGAAAATGAGCCGTGAGACTTTATTTTCGCTTCTTGGAAAAATGGCAGAAATGCGACTCAAATCCACGAGGAGTTGGTGAATGTAGAAGGGGAACAAGCATTGTCTATCAGCACAATTAGACGCGCTATATTCAAAGACGGGAAAGAAGAAATTAAAGACAAGGCTAGTTTTGAACGCCCTCGCGAAGCCGTGACGTCAGAAAAAATTGCCAAGGTCGAGGACAATAACCCGCACATTTTTATTAGAAAATTAGCCAACGGAATCGGCATTTCTCGTGAAAAAATTTGCATAATGAATTGAGCCTCCAGAAAAAAGGGAAGAACAACTGTTCGAGACGTCACGCTTTATTACGACAATGCCGCACCACCTAAGGCAACGATCATAACAGAGTATCTTCATAACAAACGAGTGAAACTTTGCCATACAGTCCAGACTGTGTCCCTTGTGATTTTTTCTTATTCCCTTGAATCAAAAAAGAACTTAAGGGAAAAAGATTTGATTAGGTCGAAAATTTGACAAGGGCTGCTCAGGCAGTTGCTGAAACCATCCCAAAACCCGACTACGAGAAGTCTTTCCAGAGTTGGCAAAATCGTCTGCAACGTTGCATAAATGTTAATTTGAGTGGTTGTATCGATAATTATTATGAAATTTCGGAAATAAAGGCCCACGCGCAAAACTTTTCAGCACCCCCACGTATTGGTTATTTCCCCTGCATATTATGGTAGAGATCGCATTAATGCTGTAAGACAAGTAAGTATTCAGGCGAGCATTTCGAGGGTATCTCTGACACTTTTCATACATATAGAGGCCGAAAGGTAGCCCATCGTCACAATTGTCCTATAAATACAACGCAAGATACATTTTTCCTACACTCGTTTCCCATAGCTCACATCCAAGGCGAATGTTCTCATATTAACAACTTTGAAAGACGTGTCGGCTAAACTTCCTCGGTATTTCGAAAAGTTGGCGGAGTTAACGTTCCCAAAGAACACATATCACTTGGATTCCTGGTTACAGACACTACTGATGGCACTGTAGATGTGCTAATGAAGGAAGTTTCGGGAAATAAGCGTCTTTGAAAAGAACTTTCGATATTTCTTCCAACACGGAAGCCGACACAAGTTCTCTGAGCAAGCTCGAAGGCGACAGATTCTTGCAAAGTCTCGGAACCGTCTTTTGTTCACTGCTCTCATCGATGAGGACTGGGTTCTGTGGTTAGATGTGATAAAGATGTATTAGCTGCGATCATGAGAAACACACGGCTAAGGAGATTGTGTATGATAAGGACAATTTTGTCGAGACTTGGGAATCTAAAGAACTTGCTTACCACTCTTGACGAAGATAAAATATTCTAGAAGGGTATGCAGAAATATCTACTCATCGAAACTATCTTGGTGATTACGCGATAGTGGAAGAGATCTTGTAGAAATCGATGGTGTGGGTGGAACTTGCCTTTTAGTTCGGGCGGATGTACATCGGGAGGGTGGCATATTCCCTACTATTCCGATCGCTCATCAAATCGAAACTGAAGGATTTGCCAAGTTTGCGAAGAAGATGGGGAAAGATGTCTATGGTTTACCCAACTACGTAGTTTATCATAAGAACATATAAGCAGACTGATAGAATTTCACCTCTACAAATTTGGAATTGTCAGAGTAATGTTACATTTCTTGCTAGAGTTTTTTCGAACTGAACATGTTTTTCTTTTAATCTAATATATCACGCCTCCTATAATGACGATACATTCATACAGAGAAAACCCTCTAAGTGTACGCTGCTGGGACCAGACCATGGCGTGCATTTAGAGGGGGTGTGCATTTAGGGAAAATAGTAATTTGTGAACACCATAATATTATATATGACAATATGGACGTTTATTATTCAATTAATTAAAGTATTGATTTATCGTTGTTTGTTTCATTGACTACTTTTCCTTCCACTAACAAATCTTTCAAGACTGTTTAACTATCTTATCTGTTCACTTGTGTTTTCTTGTTGTAACAAAAATCATCATACATTTTCAATGCACTACTGGTGCAATCACCTGTAAGATCCACCTCCATTCTATTAGTGTTAGGAAGAATCTTCGTGTGATTCCAACAATTACAAATACTCTCTGCAGTAATTTCCTCCCAACTTTTAACTACGAATTGAATTGCTTGAAGAATATCCATCTTTGCATCTTGTATAAGCCTACCATTCTCGACTTGTTCTAATAAAAAGAATGATTTTAGAATTATACAAAAAAGCGAGTTGAAATAATTATTTTTTAAAACTTACTTGATTTGGTAACGTCGACATGAACAATCTAATTGGTCAATATAAATATTAATCACGTGCATGCATTTAGGAAATAATAGTTTATATGGACGGACCAAAAAATCATTGCATGTGCAGGATATAGGGGGTGTGCATTTATCACTGAGTCCCAAGCTCGGGACCGTGCCAAACCGTGCATTTAGGGAGGGTGTGCATTTAGAGGGTGTGCATTTAGAGGGTGTGCATTTAGAGGGTTTTCTCTGTATTATGCATTAACATTAAGTTTCTTTCTTGTACTCTTATATATATGAATTTCGTTATGCCTGGAATATAAATAGGATGTATTACTTGGCCATTTCCTTTAGTACATAATATGTTTCATAAATTGTTCTAGTCAAAAGACAGGTGGCAAGCCAGTTCCAGACATCGTCATGAGTACAATGATTTGTTGGCAAGCGGTCTTTGCCCTTTCATCGTAAATGAATACTAATTCATGTTTATTGATTCCCAACACCAACGTTGATTATAGAATGACGGACATTGCTTTGCGTGCGTTAAAATTAATTTATCAAATCAAGTTGTTGCAATTTCTTGTAAAGAGATGGGATATAATTCCTGGCAAACGATGAGAAATAAAACTGCAATAACAAAGAAATTATTAGCAAGCGTTGTCAATCAACAACTCAAACAACGGAATTCACAGACAAACTCACCGCATGTTTCGAATTATGCGACTTCTCAAAATTATGCCCCAATACATGACAAAAAGAGATGAACCAATACACCATCGAATCATAGCTCAATTTGTTGGTTGAGTCATCATAATAATGCAAGTTGAAGAATAACGTTTGGTCGTGATTAAACGCATCCGACTCTCCATCAGTATCATAGAAAACGTGTATTGCATCCGATGACAGTTCTTGTCCGAACACTTCACGGAGCGTTTTGAGGAGCTTTACAAATCCGGTGAGATTCTTCTTTTTAAGATCTGTACGGGTGGTATTGACTGTCGCATACACATCCATGTTAGCAAAGGATCGTACGAATTTCAAAGAATTACCTAGAGAAAGTACATGAATTAGAAATTGCCAATCATTAACATCTAATCTAATAGTTAAAAAACAGTTCTTATACTTACGAGGCACAGCGTCGCAATAACTTTTCAATCCTTCAATCCTTTGACTATTCACATCGTTTTTAAAATTAGACTTGCAAGACTGTAAAGCTTTTTGCAACTCAGTTTTCAATATCGTAGTATTCTCCAATGTCATTGGCATTGGTCTCCTCGCCTGCAAATTGTGTACGTGTTGTATTTCAGATACCGATTCGGTTGTGCGAGTCCTCATACGTGAACGATATGTCACATGCTCTACGGAACTTTCTGACATTGATTCGATAGAATCATCGTCAACCCCAAGAGTCCTGATGTAGCCCCGATCGTGAATCTGTGCGACTGTTGTAGTTCTTTCTGTAACAAACCTCTGTATTTGCTCCCATCCTGCTGGTGTATCCATTTCCTGATAAGCCCCATTATTCATATCTCTGACCGTTTCGTGGACGACCATCTTCTCCTGTTCGTCTACATTCGGTTTCATAATCCTATTGAGTTGAAAAATCTGCCCCAAAATTTCCTCTGGTGATGTCAAAATGGCAAGCAGAGACAGTACATCATGGTCTTTCGGCTTCTTATAAATAAAATTACTCAAAGCATGGGCGAGGTCTACGTAATTAAGCTTGCTTTCAGCAGTAATTAAGGTAAATTCCGGACTCAAGTAACACGAGGTTTGTTCGATTCGAGTTTCTCCTTTTGGAATTAGGGAATATTTTTTTTCGATCTCTCGAACCTCTATGACGCGGAGATTCAGTCCTATCCATGAAGCATTATAATTGAATTCGTGAGGTTGGCGATTGTAGTAAAATAAATCTGCGCGTTTCTTGATTAAAGATTCGAGTTCTCCACATTTCTCGGAAATTCTTTCTTCGCCAACCGGAGTGTGCTTGATAGTTACACACTGTTTTAGCCGGCGACTACCAAGGTACTATAAAAGAATATAATATATATTTGTTGAGTTTGTGGTGCATCCATCTGTTATAATACAGATGGAACAATAACGTTTTGTTGAACACCAGAAGTATGTTGAATTATTAACAAGTACAAATGTCTCTAAGATGGTCCAAACATGAAAATAAACAGTTACTAACTAAATTAGAACGTGTACCGCTGATCATCATATTATGATAATATCCATAATTCCACACAGCACATAAGCACCATCTAAAGTACCCTTTTCCTCAGGTTAATGTATTGTCCTTTTTAAATCAATCATTTCCATACCTCGTACATCTTTTCAAGCAAATTCTCTACTGGGCACGTCGGAACGCCAAAAATTTTCCAAAGATTTTCATCGTCATTTAAAAAAATTTCATTCGCCTTTTCTAGACAGCAACTTTTCTCATTTGGAGACGATTTCTTGATTCCTAATAACATAGGAGACATTTTCATCGCAAAGACCAATCCAGGTTCACGACTTATTATAGAAAGACTTGCAGCTATAGTCTCGAGAACGGCAGTGTATTTCTCTACGTTATAGCCAATTTTGGTCCAGAATTTGGCTGAGGAATTTACAAGTAGCTTGGCAAGATCTACTGCAGAAGGTGAAATTTTTACACCACATGACTCGAGAAACGAATTTGCACTTGGGCCGAAGTCAATGTAGATGAAAAAGTCCTTGTAGCTAATATGGTAATAGCGATAATATTTTGTAATAGAATAAAAATTGAGCTATACTTTTCACTGCGCCGTTAAATACTCGTTAGCTTAAACTCTTACCTCTCATCATCACACATTAAGAAGCAACTATTTGGATTAAAATATTTGTCTTTTACTGGAATGAAATTTTGTTGACCCAACTTTTTCCAATCAGGCCCTCCCTGCCGTTTCGCAAGATATTCAAACACCTTCTTCGCCTCATCTGCATCTTTAAGTCGCCCCTTCTCCAACTTCTCAATAAGCTTTGATATTGGTGGATCTTGGCTCACACCCAAATCAGCAGCATAACTGACATAATCGCGTGATAAAACATTGAAACCCATGATTTGGCATTCAGGATTGACGAAACAGTCGGAAGGGGTGGCATTGATCGAATGACCAACACAAGGAAGGAATCCTATGTTTATCTTAGAAGACTTAGACTTGTACTCTGCCATGTATTCTTTCTTGTTTCTGATAAAGTAGTCAAGGGCTTTGCGTCGGAATTCAGGGGGTCCTGGTGGTGCGGCTAGATCGAGGATGTGGTGTAAGGACGGATGCGTGCGGAGGCCAAGGTTTATTAGGAATTTTTCTACAGATGTTTTTGTAAAAATTATGTTGGGCCTTGAGTCAATTTATAGACAATTCTAGACATTGGTTGGACATTCACAAACTCACCTTCTTTCATCCTAAACAACCAGATTTTCTTCCATTCAATAACTGGCAACGCTAATCCTCTTAATTCCTGAGTGGGTGTATACAATTCCGATAATTTACATCTGGTTCTCTTTTCTGAGATTTCAATATCCTGCCCTTCTTCACGTGGCCATATTTGATCGTCTTGCAATTTCTTCCGATCCTCTGGCTTCAACTTATCGGCTATCGAGGTTAAGTATTTTACTAATTCCATATGATCCCAATCCTTCTCTGGATCATTCAAATATTCGAACAGCACATCTAATTTGACATGATCATGAACGCCTAGAAATCTGAGGAGGTCACGATAATGGTGAATATGATCCTTTTGAAATTCGACTGTCGATAGATCGGGGAAAAGAGTTACTGATGGGAAGTATGCCTCGCCAGGAACGCGTAGGCCATTTTTTGTCGGAATTATTTTTTTATCGCACAATAATTGAAAGAGTCCTCTTTTGTTAAAGGCAGGCTTTTGAAAGGCACGTCTGATAGTGCCAAGAAAAGATTCAGCGAACGCGCCATCAGACTCGAGTTCTTGCAGTTTTGTTTTGAGCATGAATTCTATCCAATCAAGAAACGGAAGTACTTTGTATCTATTGATATGATAGACATGATTTGTGAATTAGTTGAAGAAAGTGTTGTAATATTTATAAACGTGATACTATCTTAATGAGAGTCTTATGCATATTTACCCAAAGTGGTTCTTGAGTTCTGCATGGTTGAATATCCTACTAATAGGATATGGCAACATATATTCAGGGAAATCGTTGTTGGGTGGTATCAAACTACTATCCAAAAAATACTTAAATTTGGCCAGCGACGAGATTTTATTCTCCCAACCAAGCTTAGCCCGATCGAGGAACCTAGCCTTCTCCGTTCCTGACACTCTATTAGCTGTAACATACTTGATCCACCAACGTATCAAGGCCGTCATTTCTGTTTCAGTTAACTTTCTGTCGTTCTGCAACTCGTTTTCTAATATATCCTTTAATGTAATATCTGTGATCATATTCCGTTTCTTGGCTTTCTTAAAGAAACCTTCACAACCCGCAAGCACTTTCTTTGGAATCGTAGGGATTCTATTGATGAAGTCCTCCATGTCCTCGTTAGGCAGTTTCGTTTCGATGATAGGACGAACATCATGTGAGGAAACGACAGGGAGAGATTCGGACCAAAAAGTACCTTCTATCAATTCGCCTACTTTCTTGTTGGGCGTGCTAGAGTGAAAAGTAAATTGGTCAAGTGCGTGCACGGCTCGTCGTATTCTTGTGTCCTCAGAAACAGATTCGTTTTTCCAATCGGGTGAGATTATTTTCATTTCATAGTCATACAAGATGCGAGAAAGCACACCAGCCATCGATAACATGTTTCCATTGTATTCGGCTAACGTTATTTCGGCTAAATCAATTGACTCGCGCTCGACCTGAGCAACAAAAAAAAGAATTGATAATTAGCAAGTAACCGATAACTATTAATAGCTGGTTAACTAACATAATGCGTCATTCGTCTTTACCGTAGGAATAACCCTCGCAGCCAAATGTAATGAACATCCGGTCGTTTGAGATGTGGGAAACCCAATGAAGATCTTTCCTTGCTCGGTGTGCGGAACCAAATCCTTGAATATATTACTATTATTAATGTTGTCCTCGTTCTCATTAAATTCGGAAAATATCATCTGAATCACGGTCGTGCTTGGCGGTTTCTTTTTAATAATGCGCTCCATCTTTGCTGAGAACTCTTCTGTCACATGTACATCCAAGTGTCCAGCCGCAATGCGAAGGGAGATTGTGTTTGCATTTGGTGTTATGACAGAGCTTGTAGCTTCGATTTTTACGTGTCGCAAGTCGACTGATCTGAGATGGAACATTGCATTCTTCAACATGTCAGTTTTAATATCCATCTGGTGTGAATCCTCCACTTTTTTAGAGAGTTTTACTTTTGATTCATCGTCTACAGACACAGCTATCTCACGAATGTTTTCGGTAAATGCCTGCAATTTGCATAAATGTTAGATATAAGAAGTAGAGTCCAAAGTGTAACGCACTAGCGGCAAGTACCGAAAATAATTCGTTACCATTGACGTGACTAAGAAGTTTGCAAATTCTTCAAAATTTGGGATCTGTTATCGAGAAAATTAAGCGTCTATTAAAGACAAACCCTAGTAACGACAAGTAATTCATCTCGATCGTATTACTCACTTTCATGGGCTCTCTCGTGTTCATCAAAGTTGTTGTCCACTCAACACTTGATTCCATTGTATCACGCCTAAAAAACAGCTGGTCGTTCTCCCAACTGAATGCCATGCACTCTTTACCAGAAGAAACACTAAAACCAAAGCGTAATGCGTTAACATCCCATGTCATCATCAGTACATGAACAACATAACTTACAAGGGCTCCTCGCATAAGGAAAATACGGAGTAAAATCCAACGCCAAATGCACCAATCTACAAATTATACTAGTTATAAACCGGTGGTCTTTCTTAATAACCTGTCTTTATACTATCATACCTTCTGCACATCGGGATTTCCCTCAGCAATCTTCTTCAACCGGTCCCAGTCCTCTTCTCTGAATTCATCACCATTGTTTTTGAACTCTATGGCGTTGTATTCGTTGCTGCTGTTGTTTGGATATTCCTTGGTTTGTTCGCTACCCTCGGTCCGAAAGTTTATCTCTATTCTTGATGCCTTCGCATCGTCTATACATGACAAATAAGAAAGATAATAAGAAAGATAATAAGAAAGATAATAAGCACCATTCCGCAGCAAAATACTCCCATTCACCAACCTGCATTCTGCAACAATTCTCTGTAGACTACAAAATCTGTACAATATCTATGATATATTAAATGATAAATACAATACTCGCGGTTAGTATGTTGGGTAATAAATTAGGCTGCCGTCTGTACAGATTTATCCCACCTAGCAAGGATTTTGTCGATGAGGGCTCTCTGATTGACTTCTACTCTTTGTCCTATACTATTTGCTAGCACCCGCTTTCTCCGCTCTTCCAGTGACATTTTTTTGAGTAGAAAATATTGCCGTTCACTAAAAGTCGTAGAAGCCTTCCGTAAAACAGAAGAAACAATACTCCCACGAGAGAGTTCGGTCTTACACTGAAACAAATTGGGGGATCTATGCTGATATTATTATGATAACGATTGTATTCCCAAAAATGTAAACAATGTCATTCTTGCTTCTTTTTTATTTTTATTTGGTCACACAAACGCCCAATAGATTAATATAGCCTAATAGCGTCAACGACATTTCCCACTTTAGAAAGTTGAACCACGTGTATGTTTTAACGGCGATCTAGCTAATCCCACCCCAATGAAGTTAAAGGTCGATGCAATTGGAATAATATGGGCATGAACCAGGTATGAGATTCTCTGCAAACTTGTCTGAAAAAATACTTTCCAATTCTTCGCACATTCAAATCTCACATTCTAATCCCCACATGTCAACAACTTGCCTGAAAGTTGACAACGGCTCAACACTTTCTCCACCCGACACCAAATGGATGCGACATTGACGATACCGTTATGCCCTTTGATTGAATTGAAAGTAGTTTTCCTGACTTTTGAGACTTTTGATAATCTTTGAAAGACTCGAGTTGAATCATGTAAAAGTCTGATATGTACAGTACATTCTTCATTATGATTACACACCTCCATGATATATCGTTTGCGCCAATCCATTCTCTCTTCAGCAACGCCGGATCTCTACCATATTAAACTAAAAACTATTCACATCGTTCTAATTCAATCCCGTTATAAATAGTTTGTCATCCAATACATTACGTCATTTACCTCTTCTACATTGACGACATCTTATGCACAGCTCTCATTATCATATTCTTTGCACTACACTAGTCCATCCTTGTCGTCTCCGTCCTTTCTTCCCCCACCTGAATTTAAATGAAACATCATGTCAACACGCTATATTTGTCATATCTCACGGCCACAAGCAATCACTTATATAGTTTCACTTACAGTTCTATTAACCGATCACCATTGGAATTTTCAGCACTGTATGCAGCTTGAGGTAACAGTGTTTCTATTATGTCATAGATTATTCGAGGTTTCTCTTCCGTAAGCATATCTGAGAGAAAATTTTGATTGGAGAAAGAGACGATGAGAAAGTGGTGAGAAAAAAACAAAGAAAATCAAGCAAAATACGTAATGAGTTTACTGATTAAAAAAAAAAAAGACAATCACCTTCAGTTCGTGGTTTAACAAAATCAAAACAACAATCTGGATTTCTCTGGTGCCGTAACTCAATGTCGCCTTCCTGTCAATATTATAACGCGTCAGATGGTCAATAATTTAAATACACGTCATCCACATTTATGCACAAGCTCTTTAGGTAACGTTGGATTCATCTTCCAACTGCTAATATTAGCATACACTTATATTTTGCATTCTATTCATTCTCTTCTTTCTAATATGACTCATTTCTTTCCTCTCACCTTTCTGAAAACCAGAAGCGTCAGCTTTGATTTACGAAAATATTTATATGGCATTTTGACAATCTGATTGTTGATGTGCTTCTTAACCCAACAGAAATTCTCCACGTATCGAAAATGCCATTTGTCAGCAATCTGAATTATATCCGGAAGATACTCTTTCTCAACCCAAATAAAAAGGAATCCTACGGGGATTATCTTTGTTATATTTAATGAAGCCTATGAAAAAGAAAGTTTAATTAGTGGCTACACAAACTGATTATTCCACAGGCACGGCGATGACAAGTATTTACAAATTGCGACAGCGTAATCTTGTGTGGTGATGGAGATTCGCCTGGAAGAATTAATGGCGGATCTATCAAAGCTGCTTGAAAGTTCTTTCCAAGACGTAGAAGATTCATTGTCAATATATCAGCTTCATAATACCTATAAATACAATAAAATAAAGGTTAACAGACTACACATGAAGAAGAATATATGACAAGCCATTCAAACGACATTTCTGTTTTTGATCCTGACCTTGATCCATGGCCATCCTTTATTTCATCTGTTGGCGGTAAAATAGTATGCGCCCATGAAAGAGGAACAGGCAATGATGGTATTCTTATATATGTGGGCAATGCTGGATTGACATTGCTAATAATAACATAAAATCTTTTCATCTGGTACACCACATACACGCGCGCGTATTATATCGACTATTGAGTTGCGTACCTCACTTTCTTTTTCACTGTAAAGTAGTTTCCATTCCTGTCTTGCAGTTTTACTTGCATTACTTTATATCGTTGTAGTATAATCTCCCTTCCTATTCCACGCCGTCTCTCTGATTTATCGGCCTTGGTTCGTCTTTGCCTACTACTACTAGTTCCGAATTCCTCATCCCAGAATGCATCGTCTACCGCCAAATAATCACTTTAAAATAAACGAATTTTTAGTTATAAATATAAGATAATAAATTACAATGCGTATTTCATTTCACTGAACCACCCACTCCTCTTCCTCAAATTCGGCGGTGTTTCCATCTTCAACCTCAATCCTCCACAATTCTAAATCGTCAGCATCTTCGGTAGAAGGTAAGAAAGTAGCAGACTTGATAGTGAATATCGAAGTCCTCTTGAAAACCTCTTCTAATTGGGCTTCCGTCAAGTTTTCATTTTCCGTTTGAGCCGGCGAGGGACTATGAGCGGAATCTCGGGGTTTGGCAGCAGCAAACTCAACTTGGAGTCTCTCTAGTTCTTCGAATTTTTTCATTATTGCTTCGACCGATTCGTCGTCTTCGACATAGCCAACATAGTGTGCGTTGCTAATAGAAACGGAACAAACGCGAATTATTGTTATTTTCGACGCGAAAAAGGACACGCGTCTAACATAAAACGGATGGAGAATACTGACAGTGTGGTACTCGATGTGCATACCTGGCTGTCGATAAGTATGGATTTCTTTGGCGTCTTTGACGCAATATCCTTCCGCTCATGACTATTAGCGAGAGTAATGCAGAACTAATGCTCACAAACTTCTTTGCGCTGTCATTAGTAGCGTGGAAAATGATCACGTGTCAGATAATTGCTCTATTTGGGTTGATCCGACGAGAAACATATTTATAATAAATTAAAATAATAATAATAAATAATAATAAAATAATAAGACTACTTATAACCCCCCCCTTTTACAGGTAACGTGAAAGCTGGGACCAGCCGAAATTCTCGATACGTAATTTCAACTTGAATCGCTTGCTTTCAAGCCAGCAAATAGCCTGAATGACTAGAAATACTCAATAAACGTGTATTGCTGAAACGCAGATGGCATTACAGGTTCAACGTAAGAAAAAACAACATTCCAATCAAATTCTTGAAACATATTCGACCCACTTTTTTTTTCACCCTTGGAACCAGCGTTGATTGTACTTTGCGTTTTCCACAATACTTCAGACAAGCCCATCTTGATTCTTGACGAAATGGGTTTATAATCTTACGATTAAGTGAGTTGTAAATGAAATCATTCATAAATAGACAGGTACGATTGCGTAAGTAATATACTGTTGTGTTTATTTTACATCATATACATTAAAATATACTGTTCACCTATCGACATTGTTCCCTTTCCCTCCTCTATATACTTTCGCCGTGCTTCACGCTCATCCTTCTACATCTAGATACTCTGCCTTGTCTAATATTCTAGTATGTTTCATAACTCTTTCTCAACTCTGATGGTGGCAAACTCTTCTTCTTCTTCTTCCAACCATTTCTTCATGTTAGTCTGAAACTCCTCTGGATCCCAATCGTCCTTTTCTAACAGAGCAGGAGCATCGTTCCAAACATACGTCTGTGCCGGGACGAGACGTTCTCTGGGTGGGGGTGTGTAGATAACGTCTACATCAGAGTCTACAAGATCGGGATCGGAATGGAATGAATTGCGTTTTGCTTCCTCTATTATTAAAACTTCGACGTCTGTTCGAACATATTGCTGAGATACACGAAAGTGATTATCACGGGGATGGAAAACAGTAAAGTATTGAGATTTTGGAAACTGTTGATTATAGATTACTCTCGATTCATCGTATAAAGTGTGAGTACTCTGACTTACATGGCCCTCGAATAGATCTAATCGCGATATATCTTGTGATGTCAATCCACTAACAAGAACTCCTCGTGTCTCATCGTTTTCCGAGCCTTTTATAATTGCTGGATAAACAGCGTTGAAGACCTTATGCCGTCTGTATCCCTAATAAGACAGTCATGTTTTAGCGTATGTGATCGTAAGGACTTTTTTGCCCCTGATTACTGTTGTAATGAAGACAGGATATTCCGCCTGTAATCGTACAATCATGTATACCATTACGACAGCATATAACCTTTCCCATAGCATTAACGTTCTATTATCCATCCGGCGTATCTGTTTAGGACTTGCTGTGTATATGTTCGATTATCAGTATAAACAATCTTTCGTATTCATACCTTCAACACGGCGGGAATAACAGGTCCAAATACTACATCAGACTCTTTCAGCGACTGCCCTTCAGTAATTACGCGCCTCAATATCTGAGTGAAAATCAAAGTTCCATAAAAAAAGCAAGAAAAATCTCCCATAATTCTATGTTCAAATTCTATCCAAGTTTCCTTGGGGGGGTTGTCCTTTGATGCTTCCGTTACTCACAGTAGTTTGGAACGAGGGAAAGAGAGTTATCTGCAAAGTTGATAGTTAGGGGTTCTCCGTTACAATGTCAAATTGTTGAAGTTTAACTCCATACACATGAGACCAGGGACTAATCTCTGTCACACAAAACTTACTCAGCGTATATTTTTATATTTTACTGGTTACGCCATTGACTTTTCTTATCTCTTCGTGATTTTTTCACTGTACATGTGATACCTTTATCTTTACGTTGTCACTGGACATTGTTATCGAGTATTATTTATTTATATATAATAGAATATATATTGTACCACCGAAACCTGTCGGATAAAACTTAAAATAACATTTAACCATATCCTCACAAGATTAGCAGAAAAAACCAGCATAACATCTCGTTTTCTATGCAAAGTGTCATGCAAAGTCTCTAAAATAGACAGGCTATTGCTCTTTATTTGGATAAAGATATTCCTAAACTTTTTGTTGTACTACATACGCTTTGCCCCGTAATTATCCGGAATCAAGCAAAGGGTACATGATGACATTTATATTTTCTATCCATATAGATAATCGTATTAATTAATATCTGTGGATATTTACGTGTGACCACGTCAAATTAACAAGCGGCTGGCCATAGTTGGGTAGAAATGTAGAATTGAATATCTGATACATATAAACAGTCTCCGATCAATCAGTGTTAGAGTTGGGTTGTTGCTGTTGTTTTTTTTTTTTTCATAAAGAATCTCTCTGGTACCCAAGTGAACCGTTTGGAAAACCGTTTGATTGTGCCTTCAAAAGGTTTCCAGCCATGGCTAGCTATATTTGTAGGACAAAATTCCGATTATCTAATACAAACAACATAAAATATCCGAAATACGTGAACCAAGTAAACATAGGAAGCTTAGGATAGGCCATTGGTTGGTTCAAATTATTCAATGTTGCTTGAGAGAAAGACTACTGCTGTTGGGTTCTTGTACGTATCTAAACCGTCAATTACAACTTCAATAGGGCAAATAAAAGAATTTTGCGCTTAGATGAGGGACTTTATCACCGTCTAACACATTACTAAATAAAATGACGAATTTGCTAAACATCATTATTGAACGACCTAACGTTTTCGGGAATTGTTTCACTATTTGCATTGTCAAACCTGTGTTGGAACTTTTCTTATCGGTAAAAGCGCATATCTAAGCGAGCGATGAAAACAAAAATGTTAAAGTCTACACACTCAAATAGAAAGAATTATCCACTTCTAATATGAATAGAAAATATCGTCCAAACCAAAGATCGAAATATGGTATTAGTATTGAATCTTCGGGACAAATGGGATAACATTTTCTTATTACCAGGTGATATTATTTTATTTCGGTTATTAACAAGTGATTACGTGAATTGCGTAAGACCATTACTATTTGTGCTCTGATAGTTGAGCGCCTCTCATAGTGTATTTTTATTATGCTGATATCAATGTATGTATCGTGTCAATATAGTGCATATAACGTACACAGATGTATAACTTTTTTGCGATTACATAAGCAGACTCGATAAGTCGGTCACGGATGGCTAAACCAACTTATCAATCCACGTGACTAATTTATTTTATAGAAGACGAATAAAACCCGTTATTATCCGTGCTCGTTGTATCGAAGAATCCGTTCGCTTCTTCACAATTTCCCATTTTAAGTCTCTTAACCCTGAAACCAATAAACTGTTTACTTTTACTGCTGCAAATGGTTATGTAAATTTTGAATCTTTCTAAAGCCACTTTGTTAGATACCATAAAAATCTCATTTTTGTCGTCATCTTCTCCTTCATCCTCAGGAGCTTCTTGGACGCTGCAATAATTTTATTATCATCAGGAATATTGCTTGTTTCTAAAGTACTGTCAATTTCAATATAGTCTTTTGCTCTCATGACGGAATAATCAACAACCATTTGATCAATAAGCGATTGTACTATCATTATCTGATGGTTTCATAGTTAATGACTTCCGACTCGTCAGGCAGAGTATCAGTTCTCTCCCTGCACAATATATTACATCGTCAGTCACATTTCTCCACGATTCTGCAACCCAGTCGATTGCATTTAAAAGATTTAAAGTAGGAATCTCAGTTCCATATTCCTGAATGCATCTATCTATACTATGTATTTTATATTAGCTACAGTATAATTAATAAGATGTAAAAAATTATGTGATCGACTTGTACTGAAATAGTAATGATGTTCTCTGAAGATCACGTGAGATCGACTTATCGAGGAGGGTAATGGTAATTTACATATTAATATAGCATTAAAAAAGGTTGGCCGACTTACAGCTTATCGCGACTTTACATACGTCGACCGACATTTTAAATATTGACTTATCGAGTCTGCCTATGTATTTGCTTCACTAGATTCACGAAAAAAATATATTTTTGTATACAGTGCTCGCCATAAACGAGAATTGGTTTTTTGACCAGCTTGGTTTGTGGCTTCACAAATACATAGATATGATGTCAATACACAAAAAAATATATGTACTAATGGTTTATTCCCCCCATTTTCAATAACTTCATTCAGGCGTCCTGACATCCCATTTACTAAATTAAGACAGATCTGTAGAGACACTCTCCCATTCTAATCGTTTTTTCTTTCCTAATTATTTTATTAACCTGTTTCTCGACTCTCTTTTTCATAATAGCCCACAGGTTCTCTATTGGATTTAGATCGGGACTATAGGAGGGCCAGTCAAGAATTTTTGGGGCTCGACGACGAAGAAGATCAGACGTTTCTTTAGCCGTATGCTTTGGGTCGTTGTCTTGTTGAAAGACCCAACGTTTTGGCATGACCCTAGATGCATTTTCAAAAAGGTGGTTAGTTAAAATCTCACGGTAAAGTGGCCCCATCCATATTCTGGGTAAACATATTAAAGCCGATTGTCCCGCGTGCTGAGAATGCACTCCACACATGAACTTTTTGTGGAATATCTGTTCCAGCGTTGTAAAATGCTGGCATGGTATTTCAGAACATCTGAAAAGTCGATTCATCTGAAAATACAACAGTTTTCCAGTTTTGTCTGGCATGAGCAATGGCCCATTCTACTCGGCGTTCACGTTGTTTTGCTGTAAATAAAGGTACAGTTTTGGGGTGGCCTGAGTGGTATCCAAGCTTATTAAGCTCACGGTTTACTGTTCGTGCTGATATTTTTACCCTAGAACTTAATTTGGTGGCAATTTCTCCACATGTAAGGTATTGATCATTTTGAATAATTCTTCCTAATACGCGTCTATTTTGGAAAATTCTTGGACGTCCAGGACGGAAAATGGGTTTAAGATTACCATTGTTTTTTAGTTGTTCGATATATTTATATATCGTAGAAAGGAGAACGTCACTTAGCTGTGCTAAAGTTTGAGCGTTTCGAACACCGCGGCCCCAAAGCTCACTTACGGTTCTTCGTCGGTCAGCAAGCGAAATTTTTCCATTTAGCAACAAAACAGCGGGGTATATTTTACTTTCTTTTGAAGCTTGTTCTTTAGGTCCGTTAATAAACAAGCCATCATCAGAAGTTTCTATGTATGGTTTGTATAACATTTGAGTCTCATTATTTATGGCACTGTAAAAGGTCACCCAATTCATTTAACAGAGTAAAGGCTTGCCAGTCTCGTTTGAGAAAGCTAAATCTCTAGGTTAATTGCAAATCGCTCTCCCGTGGTAATTGACTCGACACTGGTAATAAATAAAACAAATATTGCTATACTTAATAGTATATCTTCATAAAAAGATATCTATATATATAAAAAAACAGAACTTGAGCAGAGAACAAACCAAATCCAATTATAAAAAAGAATTAGCAGACAAACAGCAAATAAGACAAGCAAGAAGCAGTTGAGAGAATTAACCAAATGATACGGCAAGATTTCCTTATACATAGTGGCTCCGTTAAATCGATGTCTTTTGCAGCAAAAGGTATGCGTAAACCGAATACTCCATTAACCAAAGCTAACGTCTCACACAAACGACTTCGGTTTAACAGGTGCCGTTATGTAGTAGTTAAATATTGACCGTAAAGGTTCTTCCGTGCCCATTACTATGAGCTGAAGACTGTTCAATTAATAAAACCCTATGTAATTTCGCAAAGAATGTTTGAACTTCCTCATCCGTGAGACTGTCAATATTTCCCAAGAATTCTACGACTAATTCAGGGAAAACATATTTTTCTGGGATATTAGTGACTGGAAGACATATTTAAATTGTAATTGTTAGGCAATTTACTACGCCATGGATGATACTCTTATGAATATTCTGGTCTGTTCTCCAGAGTTATATACCGAGGATAATATTTTCGTCTAGACATTGTATATAGGAGTACGAGACTAGCATATTCATTATCGTATTCCGCCTAACTAAATATGTCATAATCACGGGGATTGATAAAAAAAAACCACCATAACGATGCTTTTATACCTGGTAGTACGATTGCAATGTGTCAATTTTTAATATCCCTAAAATTTTGTTTGTACGTATCATCAGGTTTTGTTTCAGTATGTCCCATATAACCTCCTCACTCGAGCATTTGGACCATTATATCAATACAGCGATAAAAACACGGGACATTACTGTCTCATTTTCTGATCTCTTTGGAGGCGCAAGGCATGTTATCCGATGGCTATTCCCCAGCTGGATGGATGAACATTTAGACTTTGTTCAGTTCAAAGATGGAATAACTAACAAACGTAAGTATAAAGTACGTGAAATTGTTAGGGAGAGAGAAGAGACTATACTAAATATAGTAAGGACACTTCTACTATGAACACATGCCCAGTTGTCAAATGCACGAATAGAAGTCTCTCGCTCTCAGTCTTGGTCCGTGTATACGGTAATAGATCCGAACTGTTAATTGATCGAAGGCAAGAAATAAGGGTATATAATCAACCTTTTTCGTTCGTATGGTTCTCTCGTCATTTAAAGATCGTTTTTATCATTCTTTCGTAATATGTCTCCACACACTCTCGCGATCCTGTATATTTTCTTCAAACGCAGAATTTTGTTGTTCTCTCAGAACTAAATCTTGGCCCAAGACTCTATGGTAAATTTACTAATGGTCTTGTATATGGATTTCTGTCGGGTGACGCTATCTCTGTGACAGATATGTCTAGGCCGGATAAAAGTAAGCTGATTGCGAAGCAGCTTGCTAAATGGCATGGTGTGCAATTGGCTGGAGAGAGAGTATCTGCCTTATTTACAACGTTGCAGAAATGGTTGAATGAAGGTAAGCATATTAGGCGGAGCGATTGAAAAGTCTAGAAAAATGAGATGTATGTTTGTTGAATCCGCCGCCTGTATTAGTTCCAGAGATGTATGAAAATCCCCAGGTTAATGCAATATTTCAAGCTAGATTTAACATGGCTAATATTAGGGAAGAGGTAAACAAATGTTGTTTGACGTCTTGATCATTGTTGTATATGCTCACAAAAGATTAAGAGTATCGACGAATTGAAAATATTTATTTAGTAATTTATAACCCCTCTTTTGGTGCTTCAGATACAATCACTCCAACAAGAACTCGAGGCGTTAAGATCGCCAGTAGTTTTTTGTCATTGCGACTTGCTGAATGCGAACTTGATCTATAACAAAGAAGGAGATACAATATCGTTTATAGACGTTGAATATGCGTGCTACAACTACCAAGGTTTCGATATAGGGAACCATTTCAACGAGTTCGCAGGTATATCCTTGAGATGTTCTTGTTAGTAACATCAAAGTTACGTGGAAGGGTTTGGAAAACTCATTGTCTGTCCGTTCTAGGGTTTGAATGTGATTTCAGTTTATACCCAAAGAAGGACTTTCAGAAGATCTGGTTGCATAATTATTTATCGGCTGTTCATCCTGGTATTGTACTTGATATGTGATTGCTTTATGCCTTTCGTGTCATCGTTAGCTAATGGCAAATTATTAATTAAAATAGACCGTGATCCAACCGAAGAGGAAATTGAAAGGTTATACAGTGAAGTGAATAAATTTGCATTAGCATCGCATTGTTATTGGGGATTGTGGGCCCTGGTGAGTCTTGATTTATACGGAATAACGCCTGGGCTCTAGAATTATGATCTAATATTTATTATTCGTGAAATAGGTTCAAGCTCGTTTATCAGAAATAGATTTTGACTACATGGGATATGCTATCAAACGATTTGACGAATATAATAAGCGTAAGGAGGAATTCCTTTCGTTGTAACGTCAAAGAAATGTTTAAATAAACGAATTTTCAGAGAGGTAATTTAACAAACTGAGAACGTTCCTATTTTTTGTTTGTCAAAAATAACTCAAGTTTGACCTGCATAGACCACAATGATCGGTTGTTAATATTAATGACATGTGAAAAGTAGTTTTACAAAGTGTGAGTATTACAAAGACTATTAAGCAATGTGGTTCAGCATTGTATAGACTGAAATTTGCGGATTAGACGGTTAATAGGATGCAATGGTTTAATTGTCAGATAGTCAATTATATTTAACGTTACGAATAAAGCATTTTATTGCATACTAAGCTGTAACCAATAACCCAAATCTAATACTAAAATTAAAGCATTTCGCTTCTCCATCGAGATTTTAAAGCATAATTAATAATAAGGGGTAATTTGGCGAATTCGGATTTATTTTTTTTTATTATTTATTTTCTATTTCCGTCTATTTTAGCAATCATTTTATTCCTCTCGCCTCTTTGAAGCCCGATTTTCGTAATTGTATAGTCGAAAAATGCTTCCACTTTAATTAAGTATGATTGTAATGGCTATAAATCTTCTTATTGACTCCATTATAGTAATAGTGCATTATCGACAATTTATAATAATAATAATTCTGTGATTCGCCAAATTACCCTACCTTATTATAGAAGTTTGTCCCATATACTGACAGGAGCTTCTTTTGAGTGGAAATTTCAGAATACAAATTTACTATATTGTAAATATTCATGGATGGTATATACGTGCACGTATCTTTAATCCGAAATTATTACCACACTGTAGTATATTTAGTGACATAGGTTGACGCCTATCAAAAAGACATCGATCTTATTTTACAGAATTGAATAGCCCTTGATCAACGCGATTTGTTTTATTCCGTAACTTTCGATCCCGCATATAATTATCTATTGCCCTCGAATTGAGGGTAGTACTATTGATAAGTACTTTTCAAACGCCACCGAGTTGTTCGAAGTAATAGTAAATTAAATGTCGCAGCGAATCATACTTGGAATCGACCACTACTTATAAATTCTAACACTTAACCTGACAGCCAAGTGGCATATCAACTATCCTCACTGGAGACATAAAGCCCGCGATAATACAATGTATGATCCATTATCGAAGTAATAAAAGTTCATAAACTAAATCAATAGTAAACTATGAAAAGATGGTAGAGCCACGCGAAAACCACATCAAAAGAAAGAGCAACCATTTCGGTAAGTGGAATATTCCGGATGATAAACCCTGTTGACTAATGTTGGACTCGATGGAAACGCGAAATAGGAAACAAAGTCTCAATCCTCTACAATCAATGAACACGATAACCAAATACGTGGTTGTTTTATTATGCCAACTTAAATAAGATAAAATTCAACGCCAGAAACGATCCAAACTTGCTTGCGTTGCAATGCTTCTGTGAGTCTTTTCCGTGAAGTGTCTTTGTGGATTAATTCATCTTGACTATGTCTTTCCAATGTCAGGATTGCAAACCGTCCATCCCGAAGCGGACCAGGATTCACTATCACCGTACGCCCTATGTGTGAGATTCCAAAGGGAAAGTGAGTGTGTCCATGAACATTGACTGTTAGTGTTAGGACATCTACATCATCTGGTGTTTTTCTTGGAGATTCGTTGGCGATATGTCTAGATATAGCAGCGCTGAGATGATAAATACGATCGTATGTTAATTGATATATACATCTAGCTGCAGAAATGTAATAGTCACTAGTGATATTACCTCCCCCCAGATATCCTTTCTTTCAAGTCATTTGGGTATTTATTGACATCGGTTGTTGATACATCTACTGGACCGACATGAGTAACCAGCATAATGTCATTCTGTTTGGGAACTTTGGAAAAAAGTATTGGTAGTTGCTTAGAGAGCAACGACTCAGTGTCCAAGGGGTATGCTAACGTGTTGTAAATGAGAGTCAGTGATAGTAGACCGTTTTGCCTGTACAACGTATAGTCGGTATCCGTTCACCTGGCCAGACGACTTTGGATGGCTCATTTCTTAACGCAGCTTCTGTTGAACCACCAAATCCAACCATACTGAGTCCTGGTGCTAGTAAATATTCTTTATGTAAATTGATATCCAAGTCTTATTAGTTAAATGCAATTAGAATTACTATACCTATATCGATCACTTTATTATGGAAATTCTTGACTAGGTCTGAACCTGCACTTCTCTGTTTACCGAGTTCATCATATGCGTACATATAGAAAGCTTCTGATGGATCGTGATTGCCTAGCGTATCGTGGAATATGAGTATTGACAACCAAGAAATTCATCATTAAACCTCCACCATTATAATATGTACTTGCCAGGAATATAGTAAACTGCCTTATTAAATGCCGCAAGCCCACTCAATATGTCATAGAATAGTCGTGTTTCCCTATATCCATGTTCAAATGGTCAAATACCACACACATACTCGCTCACTCTATATTCATAACACATCTTAAACATTAATCTTAACCTTTCCTTTACAATCTCATCATCAACTTCATGATCTATAGTAACCAGATCACCGGAGGCAATGATAAAGTCAATACTAAAAAACAGAATAAAAAGGCCCGTTGATACGATTTGACGGCTAAACGTTAGCTATAAACATTAACTCGCACGTTTCTATTCGTTGCCGTTCCGTTAGCCATTTATGTAGGCCGTCGATATTATCGATGCGACCATGAATATCCGATACTAATAGGATGGTTATACGTGACATGAACACAATTCTTCTATTCAGTCGATGAGGTTTTAACGCTATTAAGGTATTGTTAGTGCAACATCCTGACAGCATTCACTATTGATGAGTATTCGTTGATCGTGGATCGACATGTCATTATCATTGGTCATGTACAACTTGTGGATTAATTTCTCATTGCATTTTTAAATGGTGGTTTGCAAATAAACTTTTTTTTTTGACTCGTAAATAAAAATAAAAAACGCGGTTATTTATGAAACAAAAACAATTATTAACTTTCTACTGAGCATGTTTGTATTAACAAATTTGCTTTATTTCATTTACTGATTTTTCCAAAAATTTTTTTGATTATTGCCAGTTTCTATAAGGAAGTAATTTAAAAGTTTGTCTTAATAACATGGTTAAATCTATTTGAAACTCAGTGACAAACTATTTTACACTTTTGGCAAAATAATATTCATTCAGTGAAAAAGAAACTGATATTTTCTACATACAGTTGAGAATGATCTTTGCAAGCTCAAAGAATGCAACTCCATTGAACTAAAAAGGGTAGTGGATGTCCATCGAAAATTACTCAAAGCTTGCCACATTCTATTGAGCAAGCTGTTCACTATAATAGTGTCATTTCGACTCGTCAGCTCGCAGTGAAACTTCATGAAACACATACACCATCTGTTTGGCAACACATGCAAAGAAGACTATAGAAGAAACAGTACAAAATATTATTTTGTTCATGAAATGGATATGTGAACTAATTTTACAGCACAATGGCAATAGAATTACATATTAAAATTTTTTCATTAATAAAGCTTCTAAATTTACCCAGTTATTTTATATACTCGTGGAAAAACATAATTTTTGCTACCACCTTTTTTTTTCTTCTTTTTTTTTGAGACCCACTGTATACCATAAAACTTTTTATGTCTATATAAATAAATTAACTTACATCAAATCCATCATGGAACCAAAGAATTACAGCACTATTAGAAGTATTCTAAAAAAGGACAAGAAGAAACAATTGCTCCAAATGGTTTTAAAATCAATGATACCGAATTCCTTGGGTAATGTTAGATAAAGAAAAAATCACTTATAAAATTTACCAATAAAAACGAAAAATAATAATAGTAAAACGAGCATTAACCCCAACTTATGATGAACCAAGAAAAAAGCAGCTGCCATTGAATATGCAGATTATTTTTTTCATCTTTTTATTCTTTCGATGGCATTAAATTGACACTTTTGTCGTGTAACATCGTATTACGTTATTTGACAAACAACAATACTAATACTAATCACCTTGAGTCAAGATCTACTTAAAACTGCACAATACACGATTATAAAAGGTAGGCCGTCGGCTCTTGCTACAAGTAAAGAATCTGTTCTTGAGAAATGGAGGATCAAAAGTGTTAGCTTTCTGTCAGCTTTAAGTCATTATAGTGCTGCAGCCACTGTTTGAGGTACGATGTTGACGATGTATATTCCTTTCTCGACTCCGATGGTTCACTGGATTCCTGAATAAGCGTTGCACTCATTACCTATATCGGGGCAAAAATCACTGGTGTTGCAATAATTTAGACGCTAAAATAGACGTTTTACGAGCACAGCACTTTTACATATGTAAGTAGCTCGACTTTCCGATTATGTTCATATGTCAATTGATATTCCTTCCTAATAAACGAGTGGTTATTCATACTCTAAAGCCGCCTTTATCATAAATTCTCGGTTCACATAATGGATGTCCCCCTGCAATAAGGCTATTATACTAAACAGAGGGTGTTAATAGCTTTGCAATAAGTAGATTTACTTTTAATGTTAAATAAACATATCACTTTGAGATACATTGGGCTTAAGGAAGCTTAAAGAGTTTCTCAGGACTCCTCAACTAATTAATATTTCTAGTTTTAAGACTTTCATGTCAATCAAACCTGGTTATAACGAACTTTCTATATGTTTGTTATAGGCATTGAATATTATAAAAAGGGCTTGATTATAAGGAATTTCTGGTTATAAGGAATATTTTTCCGGTCCCGTAGAATTCGTTATAACCAGGTTTGACTGTAATATTATTGTATATGATTTCATAGATAATTTCACATACATGTTGGTCGAACCCCTTTTCTTGGTGTTAAGGACATATAAAAACCAAACATGTTTATAGGACAACGGAAACTTAGGTAATTTACATGGCTCTGAGTTTATAGCGCATCATTGCGCGAATCTTTTGGTTAAATTTTACATCATCCTTGTTCATGCGAATTGAAAAATAGGTCTAAAAACTATCGTTTTGTCAAGCTTTATCTAATTTACAATAAAATTTGAACCCTCCGATTTGCTATAAAAAACACACACAGACTCCAACTTGTAGAAGAATCCCATTAATCGAAATAATAGTAGAGAGATTTCGAGGATTAAATAGTAACCAGGACTAACGAATCGGTAATAAATGTGACGAAATTTTCTCTATTTTAATATGAAAATTAAAAAAAAAAAATTTTTTTTGTTGGGGGGGGGCACTTTTTTTGTATACACAGGCAAACTCGATAAGTCGGTCATGCATGATGGACCGACTTATCGAGAGAACCGACTTATCGAGAGATTTTAAATATTAAAACTGAGGAAAGGGCTTGGGAAGTTTTGGCCTTCTTAGGCCAAAATTGAATCATCGAGAGACCGACTTATCGAGTTTGCCTGTGTATGTGGGTTTCAGTGGCATTAATATTAAAAGAGGACCCAAGAAGATCCAAAAAGACCCCAAATTTCGTTTTAATCCGATTTCGTTTTAATCTGCCACAATCCTCTCCTTAAATATTCACCCCTACTGTACAATCATATGATCACCGACAATTTTCTATTGCTGATAAATAATTTTTTAATCCCCTTGTCATTTCTACTTGTGTCTGGACTAGTGCGATTGATTTGTTCCCCTTGCATAGACATGCCTTCTGGTGAATCAGGAGAACTAAGACGCTTCCGCTCGACCACTTCAAGCTCTAACGAACGCTCGTCTTACAGGTTTGCGTCCCACTAATAAACCCACTTTACATTCACACATATAATGAGTAAATACAATTCTTTAGATCTAGTCCCGTACATTCTTCCGCGCGATTATTCATGCATGCAGTGAAGGACGCACGTAAAAGTGCACGAGGATCCACTGATCAAATAGGTTAGCTAATTTACTATTATCATTACCGATGCAAGCAAAAAAACGAGCGTGAACATACTATCATGCAGGCATTTTCTATTAAGAATGTTTTACATGTAATGAATATTTATACGTGACTACTTGTGACTTTCAGATGAAAGTGAAGACACAACACCTCGGAATAATAAACGACAGCATAGCCCGTACGCTGACTATGAGTCTAGTTCAGATCAGAAACGTAAAGCTCGCAGAGTTGAAAGTGAGTCGGCACCGGAACAGTCTCGTTCACATGACGCCGATACATATCACTATAACAACTTACCTGTGGCCGTTGACAGTTCAATCACGGATAATTCATCGTACGACAGATTCTCCCCTGAATCAACACGTCGAGAGCATGGTAAATATCGTAACATCATTTCGATTGAACGTTCGTCGACGTTTTCCTGGCTTGAAATGCACGATAAACATCAGCTCGTTAACACATTTCATCAGGGAACGACCGACGCGGGGCCGATTCGAGATACGGCAATAATCAGCATCGTAGCATACTAGATCGGCTTGGGAAAAAGGGTGGTATGACAACTGCATACATTAATCCTGCCTTTTTCCAAGGCTCTAATGCGGCATCTCCCGTCATGCCGTCTGATGTTCCTCCCGATAAGAAGGTCTCGAGGTGTCGTAATTGGCCTAATTGTGATCTTGGGTCGTCCTGCAGGTTTTATCATCCTACAGAGATATGTCCGTAAGTAGAAACATACCGATTAACAGAATGGCTTCTTCTTACCCTAATACTGTTTTTTTTGTGTGTTTTTTTTTAACAATGTGCTAATTCTATTTATCAGCATGTTTCCGTTTTGCCCTAATTCCCCAAAGTCATGTCTTTTTATCCACCCTGCTGATCAATCGTATGGAATGGGTCCCTTTAGCTATGCATATACCGCTGGAGGCAACTATCCTGTATTAGGACAGTCAGGTGGGACATTTCCACGTGCAAACGGAATGTTTGGTATGAACCAAAGCACAATAGGCGAGGGTGAAATTAAGGGTGTAATTAGAGAAGGTAGTAGTGAACAATATATGCAGAATGAAAACAGCTTGGCTAATCAGACTAGTGATGTAACCAAAAAATCACCCACCACCTCATTGATGACTACAAGCATGAGTTCGATGTCAGCCGAATTATCGGATATCGCTTCTACTTCACAGACTGCTGCTTTATGTAAATTTGGAGACAGCTGTGCGAATGTTAGTAGATATTATACTTTGACATTATTTGAGGGTTACTTTATATTATTCTGTTTATGGATTGTTTTACCATGTTATTTTCTCGCTGAAAAATGAATTCTTTTATTACAGCCTAATTGTACGTTTGCTCACGAAAGTCCTGCTGCAATCGGAAGTAGTGGATACCTTTCGGCTCTCCTCGACGTGCCGTGTAAATTTGGAAGTCGTTGTGTTAATCCCAAATGTCGCTTTTCTCATCCTAGTCCTGCTTCAGGTGAGATTTGTATTTATTGAGTATAGATGTCTACCCATTTTTTATTTTCCTATGCTTGTCGTTTTACCATCACCGCTACAACGTTGTCTTTTCGTTTAATATAGCTATTGACGGTCCTGAACCATGTAGATATTATCCCAGCTGTGTAAATCCATCGTGCCCATATACGCATATTGACTACAGGTATGGGATTCAGATGATTGTTTTATTGTATTAGAGTATATGTTCTGATGAGCTGTATACTGTCTAACAGTGAGTCTGAGAAGCTACCGGTACCGTGTCGCAATGGTGGTAACTGTAAACGGCCGAGATGTCATTTTCTTCACCCATGGGACAAAATAGATACCTCAAAAATGCCGGTAAGTAGTAGTTTCAAACTTGTGGCTTTGAGTGTTGCCATGAACGTTATAAGTTAATATTATTACCATCATCGTAGTGCAAATTTGGTATTCTATGTCGTAGACCAGATTGCAAGTATTATCATCCACAGGGTAAAGCTCAGACCGATTTCAATAAACATATCTCCGAACGCGCGTTTGCGGTCTCGGATAATTTTGTGGAGAGTTTGGTACCTGCTGAAAAAGATGCGGCAAAGATAGAGAACAAAACGGATGAACCTAAACTAGACGAAGAATCAAAGTCATCTGACGAGAAAGAACAAGAGAATGAAGATACAACTAACTTTGATGAACTCAATATGGATGATGTCAATTGGGATGATATTGATGATATAATTATTAATGATGGAGATCCAGCTGGACACACTGTCTTTGACATCTAAAGAGTGAGTAATGCGTGTGGGATAAAATACATCACCGATGACACATGTATGAATTGCAATTATTTCGTCAATTTTGAATTAAACTAATAATCATCAATTGGTTGTACGACTATGTATTCTTTGTTCGGTTTAGGATCGAAGAATTTTTTTGTGGCAAATTTATTGCCCTAGCCGCTTCCGGTTGTAGGAATATTCTAAACGGGGGGTTTTTTGTGAGAATTACTTATCACAATTCTCAATCGATATGTGAAAGCGTTTCATGAGACAATTTAAACATGCCGACAAGCCGATTTCCTTATCTTTTCAGTTAGTAGATGACTTTGTAGTATTAGCAAATCAAAGGAAATGTGAAAATACGATGCTCTCTTGCGTTACAGAAACTCAATCCTAAGATACCTTGAAACCCATTATCAGTCCTCGAGAGATGTAATTATATTGGGTGAGTTTTTAACAATTACTCGGAATTCAATCTGCGTTGACGTTAATATTGACTTTAAATGTCAGACTCACTTTCCCTCTAATAACAAGTGCGTAAGATATTTATCATATTGTCTACTACCCTCATCTCGATTCAACCCTTGGCCTTCCACGGTTTGAAATACTTTTCCTCAGTTGTATATCGTATTGATATGTACTAGATAGAAATTAAAAAATAAGATAATGAGTGGGATAATATTTGGCTATTTGTACTCTTAAACTGACTGTTACAAATATCTACTTGTGCTTTTACAGTTGACAATTTGACTGATTTCTCGATAGCTACGTATTAATATTATCGGAAGTTCTGAATTGTCTGGAAGTCATGGGTTGTCATATTAATATTTTTATAGCAAACCATTACGTAAAAAGACCCTTTTAGATGCCGTATTAGGAATCTTTGTATTAGGAGAGTGATCAATGCGTAACAATGTTATCAATGCGCAACAAAGCCCTTAATCACATTGTCGTTGTAAAACAAACGAATGCCTCCTTTGAGTATCATCTATTGGTTTCCTAGCCGGATATTGAAAAGTTGCTAATCGGATCCAGTGTTTTCATTTATCACCATGGTTCGAAAAATCATGACGTGATTTAGTATCCCCCCTCCCCACCTCGCGTTCTTTTCATTTGGTCATCTCTTTAGGACAAAAAAAATCGAATTTACAGAGGTGGGAAAGACAAGACGTTCTACAAACTACTTGTCTTTACAATTTTGATTACTGCCAATGTATTTTGTCAAAGTAACATTAACGTAGAAACTGCGGTGTTCAATGGTTTTTTGAATCCCTGTGACGTAATGTTCAATTGGATTTTCGTTGCTGCAAGTTTATACATGACATTTTGTATTTTATTATAATACAGAAAAAACCACTAAAAATCAGAAAGAAAGCAAACTACAATTTCTTAAATTTTATGACAGTCCTTTGTAATGGATGATGAAAATCCACATGTAAAGGATTTTTTTTGTCGAACGTTATTCCATTTTCGTGCGCTAGTCATATTATTGTTGAAGTGTTCTTCTTATCTCTTCAGCATCATCTTTTACTTCACTGTCATTATACCAATTGTCTACACCGCCCACGATACGAGGAGAAACAAGCGCTATGACGTCATCACACTCTTTCATAAACGTTCTTTGTGCATCCGATCCAATAACCCCAGCAACAAGCACGATTTTACCACGGTAACCCATCTTCCGGAGTATTGCGATTGTGCAGCGAGCATTTTGACCAGTTTGAATGCCATCGGTGACAAGTATCACGGTTCCATCCTCACCAGCTGGTAATGGTAAATTGAGAGGAGAATATAGTTCTGCCTTGAAAACAAGTTCGTTGCGGGCACTATCGATGCAGTACTTGAGTGTCTCCTCAGAGACTTGGCATCCACTAAACAGGAACGAACAAGATATATTGTTATTACAATGATGCAAGCGATGAGATACGTTTTCATTTTTTCATTGTTGGCCAAATATAATATGTATGTATATAATGTATATATGCGTACCTTATTATTTGCTCTTTCAATAGGACACCGTCCCATCCGTTGGCAACGGCGCCAACAGTCAGGTCGTGGACTTTGAATGAATGCACAAGGAAGAGGTCAAGCGGTAGTTCTAATGACTTGGCAATTTCGGCACCAATAAGAGTAGCGGAGGGCTTTATTGCCAATACAGCTATAGGAAATAGACAGACACGATTATTATCAGGCTTGGCTTAGTCATCAATAAACTTGGTAGTCATTTGATTGTTCTCACCTGCATTTGACTGAGGACGGTGATATTTGAGCAGAGTGGCCAGTAATTTTCCAACTTCGGTGCGAGAAATGAATTTCTTCTGACCGATACTTGCTCGGCGTGGAAGCGTGTGTGTGTTGTTATCGAATTCTTGAGGGTTGAAAAACGATAGAGGACGCTCGGCTAACATTTTGTGAATATGCAAAGAATATGGTTATTGTAAGTCTCTGTAAAGGGTCTGCGTCCTTTTACCGATAAGATAAGTTTGATCCTAGTGCATATTTATATAATCTATAAGATAATAAACATGGCGTATATAAAAATTAAATTAAACTTGCCTACCAATCATATTACTATGCGTGTGTAACTGAAGCAAATCTGGTGAGCGGATTAGACCATTAATGTGTTCCATTACGAAATGTCGTCTATCATCCCACCCTTTTATCACATAGCCCCACCGTCGATCAGTGAAATCTTACGATCATAATAACAATCATGTATAATGATGGAAGACACCTATTGTAACAACAAGAGCGTTGATAATATTCATTTTTTCATTCGTGGTAGATAACATTTGTTCCCAATTATAACTGTAACTCAAGCCCCAAACAATTCCCACATTTCCGTTATCTCAGAGTACAAGATTCGAGATGCTATAAATGGAAAGGGCGTGTACAATGTTACATCCTTTATTTAGTACCTTAAAAGGCATGTTGCGTGTGGGAGTATTTGTAATACTATGTATTGGGGGTGATTTTATCTGCAGTATATTTAATACATTTAATTGCTGTATGTGTTTCCTTATCCGAGTTCATTCTCAACACGATAATACAGTATTTGACGCAGCAACAACTTCATCATCAATCGAATCACGGACAATATTGTTCGTTGGTTGTCCAAGATCTGATTTTTCGGTGTGTGTAATCATGTATAATGTTGTTCTATTTCGTTTTATCATTTTCACAACTAACGTTAATAGGATCTGTGGTGAGAAGAGTGTTGTCATCAGCACTATTTATGTGAGGCTTTTTTGTTCTTCGACAGGGGAAGCATACACAGAAACTAGTTCTCATGTTACGTTTAGACTACATACTCACGCATAAAAGATATTTTTAGCATACGAACTAATATTATTGACGCCATATTTGCCAAAGGCCTCTGCTGAAATGGTGATTCATATTGGATGTCTGCCCAGGATATTTTCCTGAAGTGGTCAAGAAGCAATGGAAACCGGAGCGTGCCCTAATGTCGTAATCGTTGTCGCAGACGATTAGTTGACACGGGATATAGATGTTCCGTTGGCAAGAGATTCGATTGTCTCTAACAAGCCCTGCCATTCAATTGTAACAAGCAACACGGCGTCCACCAAAGAATGTAGGACTTTATTTATGTGAGAGATACTGTATGTGTCGGTAGTACGAGAGGGGATATGTCTGCGAGGAGCATTATCAATAGTGGAGCGAGTTTATCTTATATACTGATAGCCGCCGTGTCAATCTAACTGCTGAGTAGTGTGAGTAGTGACAGAATCATTTCTTGGCTGTTAGCATTTAATAGGTTATTCGTAACCATTGCTTTTACTGGTCTTCTAGGTCCGTCATACAAGTGGTTTTTTTTTCAAATGTGCCAAGGATATCTACGTAAGCTTGATTCGAGTATCAGTGCTGACTAAATGTCTAACGCGTGTTGACAGTAGGGGATTGCATCAAAATCGGGAATATTCTTGCATTTCGCCTTTTTTATTACGCAGTTGGTTTTTGAATCTGGTCTTGGAAACTGTCACCCGATGTGATGCCACGAATTATTTCATCTTCCGCAGCAATCATAATAATGACGCAGTGTTACATGCTGACACATTCACAACGGCGCAAAACGGCGCACACGACGCAGCGGGCGCTATCGATTAGACTAGGCATGGACGAGAAGTTGAAAGTGATAGTTACAATCCAATCCATAATGTATATATACAAAGAAACAGAGAATATACTTACAAATATTTAATTATAGCAGCTGCAAGCTTGCACACATTAGCATTAGAGCTATCAAAAGAACCACACACATAATAGACAACAGGGTGTAGCTTACTCGCAATAAGAAGAGTCTAAACATTCCAGTGGCAGTATTTCAGACACAACGATATCAGAATTTGATTTATTATCACGTCTTCATATGCCTAATCTATTTCGTGTTGGTCTTAAGTAGTTATAATTTTATTATCATACACATAGTTTACTTTCCATTTTCTTTAAACTAGTTATGCAATAAAGGCTATAGAGTACAAAGCTAACTTTCGCTTAAAAAGACCGTACTAATTATTATTTCTTTATGCGCAACAAGACAGTTTGCTGATACAGGGTGCAAGAGGTGATACATCTGCCGCCTGCCACCATTTATACCATTACGATGAGGGTGTACACCCCGACTTAATAATGGGGACGAAAGTCAGGTGGTTGTCCTCAGAATATATTTTGAGCTTTCGTCCGTCCGAACAAAGTTTTTTTTTTCCTTCCTCGAGGTTATCACATTAAACAATATAACACTTGGTACTTGTCTAATCGCTAGTATTCTAACAGAAACAGAAACAAGTTGCTTTTGTCGGTGTGAGCATTCCTTGCAATAGACGTGGGGGAGGAAAGCGACGTAGGCTTCCTGAATGGTTCTGGACGGAAGAGGAGAGTTTGCTTTTATGACTGTGTATAACTGTCAAAAGAATTGCTATATGTTATAATTGAATAGTATTGGGGTATATATATATATTATTATCATTAGAAAGTGTAAAGGATGACCAAGATCAAAGCCAGCTGAACTGTTCATAACAATCTTTTCAGATGCACTTAGTCCAAGGCAAGGCTTACAACACTCTTTGAGTTCAACGTCATCGTTTATTGACAATAAATCTAGATGACCTATCTATACGTAATTAACTTTCTTATAAAACTGTAGCAATAATAAATAAACAAACAGATATAATTACTTCGTATGTGTCCATTTTTGCAAAGTGTTTCCTCCGATATACACCGGGAACGTGCAATGAACATTTAAAGCAATCACTATACAATATCTCCTACAATGTCTTTTGCCACATCCTTTATTAATATCGAAAACTCTTTTGAGCATTACATAACAAGATACGACGGCTTTGAAGGATTCTCCTGTCGAAGACAAAAACCTCACAAGTTACCAATTGCAGTCAAGCGTACGATGACGTATTCCTCCGTGATGTGTATAATATATTAGATGTGTACTAAGCGACAGAAAATCGTCTCTTATGATTACTCGATAATTTTCGTGAAAGTTGGATGACTTGACTTCAACGGCGTTCACGTACTGGATAAAAGTATCGGACACTATAACTTTATTAATTGCTCTAAGTGTACATAATAACTGAAGCTAAACTTTTCATATGTCATAGCCTAACTTCTATGAAATGCGGAGATTATATTTATTTCTTTTGTAAACAATATAATAAACGGGATTGGTGTTTTTATTTTAATATTTAACCTAAAAATGTCTGACTTAACCGAAACCAAATTATCTTTGAGCATAAATAAATATTAATAAGCAAAAAACCAGACTTGATGTTTCTACCAAAACTATTAGGAGAAATTCCGACATCCAAACCTTTACTCACTGCTAAATTGGTGTATTGAAAGAAAGAATTAAACCTATTGAACATTTATGGTCAGAACTGGAAAGGCGTATTAGAAAGCATTCAATTATGGCTAAAAAATATAAGGGAACTTGAGACGGCATTACAGGAGGAATGGAGCCAAATTACTGACGATGTTTTGATGAATTTAATTAAAAGCAAGGGCTGGTCAACAAAGGATTAGTCTTATGCATAGATTCATAAGAAGCTAGACTATGGCATATACGAATTTTAGCCTCAATTATTATGTACAGATACTTTTGTCCAGGTTGTGTATGTGGGCTCTCGACGTTTAACATTTAATAAAGTCAACTGCCGTTAATTCGACCGCCTCCGTTCCGGAGTCATCGGTCGAATTAAACGTTTATCCAATCAGAAGCATT